CCTCTCCCCTCTCCCAACAAACAAACACGCCGGTGGTACCTGTGATCTAAGACAGCTGGAGAGGATGGAGTTTTCAAAAAGTGCAAGAGACAGTTTCTAGCCAGTGTCCTTTGCTCTGGTTCTCTGCGTGTGTGTGTGTGTGTGTGTGTGTGTGTGTGTGTGTGTGTGTGTGTGTGTGTTTTGGGGGGCGGGGGGGGGGGGGGCTATCTTCCTGCCCTTTTTTTGGTATCTCTCAATTTTCTTCTATCCATCTCCACTCGGTAGAAGCTGCCAAGTTTGAGAACATCTCTCATTATAAGCCCTTTAGTTATTGATTCAACAAGGAAAAGCAGTAAACATATGATAGGATGAAAGATTATGGGTTGTCATCTGCTTGCCTAGCATGACATTGCTCTCAAGTCATTCTCTATGGGAGATTAACAACAGTACACTTCCCACTTACAAACTGGAGGACTGCCATAGCATGAGACATCATCTTACATGATCAGTCCAAGAAACAAGGGTCTAGGACAATTTTAAGCCTGGTTTTTCTTTCTTCACTTTTTAAACTGGCATATATTTATTGCATATAGTGATGAATTTTATTATGGGCTTTTCATTCAAATATATTATATATTTTGACCATATTTGTCCCTGCTCTAAAATGTAGACATACGCTTAAACCTGGATTTGTTTTTGTTTTTGTTGTTGTTTGCTTGCTTTAACTTTAGAAGCATACTCTCAGAAAGCCGAAGCAGATTGCTCTTATGGTCTGACTTAGGTGACCTTCTAGTCTGTGTAACTTCACCTTATACAGAGATGGTTAAGAAACAGAATATTTGGCCAAGAAAGGTGTGAGTTCCATTACTGTGTCTAATACATATTTATTCTCCTAGGCAGGATACCCTACAACCCTAAAAGAAATCAGACTTCTGTTAACACACAAGACAAGAAATTGGCCATACAGTCATGAGTTATGTTAACCCGACCTACAAAGTCTGACTTCCGCTTTTACTATTGCTGACCTCTGGCCTCCATCTTCATCTTCTATATTTTCTTTCTCAGAGGTGCTGTCTATAAACAGATAGGATTCTTGTTGATACCATGGAACCCAAACATCTGTTAAAACAATATCTGCTGCCCTATGGTCAAGACTGGGGTAGAAGAAGAGGCGCAGAAAGTAAGAGAAGAAGCTGACCTGGACTCAGAACTGGACTTGTACACTAATTATTTTGTTCATGCTGAGTAGGAAGTAGGAGGATGAGTGTAATGTATAGAAATGCAGACATGACCAGAGTGAAGTGAGCAAGGGGTAGAAATGAATTCAGAAGTATATTCAGGAGCCACAGAATTCAGAATTTTGTTAGCCTTCATCAAATAAGTAGGACATAATTTTTCATATATCGTCACTAGAGCAGTGGTTCTCAACCTTCCCAATACTGCTACCCTTTTAATATAGTTGTTCATATTTGTGGTGACCCCAGCCAAACAATTATTTCATTGCTAATTCATAACTGTAATTTTGCTACTGATATGAATCTGATATGTAGGATATCTGATATGCAACTGCCAGAGGGGTCTTGACCCACAGGTTGAGAACAACCACACTAGAGTTAGAATAATTGAGACAAGATAATGCATGGTCTATTTTATATTTTAAAATACTAAAATGCTATAAATAAGAACATTGAACTATGATTGCAATGATTAACAGTATGCCAGTGAATAGAACTTTTTAAAAACATTTTGATAAATAATTAACAAATAGACAGTTGCTATGGAGAGAACATTAAAAGACAAACTTAAATTCAAGGGCAACCTGTGATCAGATAATCGCCCCCTTGACTTTCACATATCCATGCATATCTGTGGAAAATTGAAGGGTAATCTGATAGCCTTGAGGTGTGCCTTTGGGGACAGTATGTTCTGGAGGTAGCTCTGAACACTTACGACTGCTAAGATAAGGGCCGACACTCTCAGTAACCCTGCTCTGCATTAAAACATAAGGAACTGTTTAAGAAAGTTCTCTTTTCTCAGTAAAAGGTGTCTCTGTACTATCTGTACCAGGGTGTCTATGTATCTATCTGCCCTTGCTCATTGCTCTTCTCTTCCAGAAACTCCAAGTTTTGGCTTTAGCTGCACTGGCTGCAGCAATACAGTATACCTATGAATGCATTTTTAAATGGGGGATGTAAGTACTTTATATATTCACAGATATATCACAGCATCTAATTGAATTTCTATTTTTATGGTTATTAGCATTGAGAAATACACTGTCATTAGTCAATAAACAGAAAGAGAATATTCTTATTGTAGTGATAGTGAATATATTTAAATTCCTCTTGGATTCTCAATATTTATTATTTAAAATCATTTTTGAAATTGGTGAAAATCTTTTCCCATAAAGAACTCAAGAAACTAGACATCAACAAACCAAATAATCCAATCAAAAATGGGATGCAGATCTATACAGGGAATTCTCAACAAAGGAATCTCACATGGCAAAGAAACACTTAAAGGATGTGGTAGCACATGCTTTTAATCCCTGCACTTGGGTGGCAAAGGCAGGTGGATCTATGAGTTCAAGGCCAGCCTAGTGTATAGAGTGAGTACCAGGACAGTCAGGGCTACAAAGAAAAACCATGTCTTGAAATAATGACAACAAAAATGTTCAACATCCTTAGCTATCAGGGAAATGAAAATCAAAATGAATCCATCTTACACCTGACCAAATGGCTAAGGTCAAAACCACATAAGTGATAGCTCATGCTGATGAGATGTGGAGGCAAGGGGAATACTCCTCCATTGCTAGTGGGAGTGCAAACTTGTACAGCCACTTTGGAAATCAATATGGCAGTTTCTCAGAAAATTTGGAATGGATCTACCTCAAGACCTGGCTATACCACTCACAACCATAAAACCAAAGGGCATTCCATCCTACCGCAGGACACTTGCTCAACTATGTTTATAGCAGCTTTATTCAAAATAGCCAGAAATTGGAAACAATTTAGTTGTCTTTCAACAAGGAATAGATAAAGAAAATGTATATTTGCAAAACGGAGTATTACTCAGCTCTTAAAAAAAAATAACATCATGAAAGTTGCAGGCTAATGGATGGAACTAGAAAAAGATCATTCTGAGTTCCATCTGACCCAGAAGACCAAACATGGTATATATTCACGTATAAGTGGATGCTAGCTGTAAAGGATAACCATGCTACAATCCACAGAAACAGGGAGGCTAAATAACAAGGAGGGCTCAAGAGGGGACACATGGATCTCCCTGAGAAGGGGAAATAGAATAAATTTCACTGGTGGATTGGGGAACCTGTGCATATGGGAACAGGAGGGGTGTGGTTGGGGGATGAGAGGGTACTAGGAGAGATGACTGAAATTGAGGGGCTTTTGGGAGGCAAGGTAGAATCCTAGTGCAATGAAAACTCCCAGGAATCTATGAGGGTGACCCTAGTGAAGCCTCCTAGTAATGAAGGATACAGAGTCTGAACAGACCACCTTGTGTAACCAGGCAAGGCTTCCAGTGGAGGGATTGGGACACCAAGCTAGGCACAACCTTCTACCTGCAATTAGTCCTGCCTGTAAGATGTGCTGGGGTAGAAGCATCACAGAAATTGTGGGAGTGACCAACCAATGGCTGTTCCAACTTGAGACCCATGCCACAAGAGGGATCCCATGCCTGACACTGCATCAAGGGCCAGGAACCACAGTGGATAGCCCAGAGACTTAGCATAGAATAAAGCACAACCAGAAAAAAAAGGAAATGAAATGATTACTAATGATACCCTGCTATACTCATAGACCAGAGCTTAGCATACTTATCATCAGAGGGGCTTCATCCGTCAACAGATGGGAGCAGATGCAGAGACCCACACTAAACAGTAGGTGGGGCTTGGTTAATCCTGCAGAGGAAGGGAAGCAAGGGGTGAGAGAAGTCAAGGACAAGACAAGAAAACCCACAGAATCCACAAAGAAGGGCTCATAAGGGCTCAGAAGACTGAACCAACAGTCTGGGTGCCTGCATGGGTCTGACTGCACCCTTTGCATATATGTTATAGTTGTGCAACTTGGTGTTCTCATGGGCCCCCTATCAGTGAAAGCAAGGGCTGTGTCTGGCTCTTGTGTCTGCACTTGGGACCCTTTTCCTCCTACTGGGTTCCCTCATCCAAGTTTCATATGAGGCCATAAGTCTGGTCTTATTGTAATTTGTTGTACTGTTTGGTTGATATCCCTAGGAGGCCTACCCTTTTCTGAGTGAAACAGAGAAGTTGATCTGGGTGAGAGAGGAAATAGGGGGAGGGTGGCTGGGAGGAGAGGAGGTGGGGAAACTGTGGTCAGGATGTAATATATGAGAGAAGAATAAATAAAAAGAAAAATCATTCTTGGTAATCCAAAGTTGTAACTGAATTACAGTTTTATTCAGGACCATGAAGGCCAAAAATTCAAGTCCATCAACTTAAAACACAGTCACTTCCAAGTCCTTGGGTTACTTACTTGCTTAACTTACTTTTTGTTTGGAATCTATAGTTTTTACACCCAGGAAAATGTATAGTAAGACTCTGGCAGTGGCATGTGAGAGTTGTGGATTTATGTTGTTATTCAAAAGAAAGCAACAGGGAAGGAAGTCACCTTGATGAATGCCATCTTGGGTACTTGAGTAAGAAGGAGTACATGTGTGTACTAAAAGGTTAGAAGTTATTTTCCATTTCCTCTTGCCTGCCTGCATCTTGCAAAGTTCTCCTGCACATGGGTTAGAGTTCACTGGTTCAGCTGGTGAGCTCCATCAAGAGCATGGTATTTGATTTACTATATTTCATGCCAAACAGTGTACTCAATACTTTCTGTTAAATAATGAGGGAATAGGAGAAGTGGAGAGTCAGTCCCTTTCCCATCCTTTCCTAACCACAAATCTCACGTGCCATACTGAGATGTAATCTGAGTTACTGATAATATTTTCTAGTGAGAGATTTCCCAAGTTAGGGGTAATAACATTAAAGACATAACATAGGCAGGTGAAATTTTGTCTTTATTTTCCAAGAAGCAGGATTACTGGGTAATATGAATTCATTAAGGGGACATGAGCCAGGTGTCCAAGTTGAGATTGCAGTTTGGATATAGTCGTCATTTCAAAACTGGGTTGTCAGCCTCCTCCTTCTCAGGCCAGTTGGCAGCAGCGGGCAGTGGTCCAGTCTATGACTGAACACTGACAGTGGCAAGTATTTCCATTGCGGATGTCCCATGATCCACAGCCATAGCCGCAAGCACAGCCAGTGACAGCCATCCCTGCATAGTCATGTGAGACATAAAAGCCTTTAGACTGCAAGAAATGGAAGGTCCCTAGCTGTCCTTTTTTCTTCTAAGAGGTGCATAGGTAGATCTAGGTTTTGCAGAGCATAAAGCTCTTCAAACTTCAGAATTCTCTTCAAGCAAATGAAATGCAAAAATGACTTAAATTGAAGGACTTGGAAGGTGGATTTCACTGTCTTTCAGTAGATGGCAATTTCACCCCTGTTCTGGCCCCCTGTTCACCAATATATGGGATAGATTAGGAAATAAAGGAAGGCCATATCCATGACTGGACAATCAAGGGACAAGAAGGATGGGCATATACGGGCATGAAGGAAGAGGTTATAGGAAGAGCAGAACCCTAGAGTCCTTCAGCAGCATCCTTAAAGTAACGAACAACTAGGAAGGGATGTCTAGGCACCTGGCACTATGCCTCAGCTCCATGGAAACAGAAACCTGAGTTAGGAGAAGGCAATATTAGGGAATTGATGGACACAGGGATACCTTATTCACAAATTGTCCTCAAGGAGATACTCACCAGCAGGACAGGAGGCTAGTCTGCCTCTAGCTTTCACACTAGTGCAGGAGAGAGTCCTAGTCACAGTGGAGGTACACTCACCTGAGTAAGAGGAAAAAAGTGATATTGCCCATGATCTTTCTCACATTCCATTATAAGTCCTCTTCTATCTTGGGGGTGTCACTCTTTCTATAAGTAGTCCACTCACTAACTTTTAAGATTTAGTTTCTTCATTTGTGAAGAGAAAGTAGTAGAAAGTAAAGTGTTCTTATCTCCTAAAGTGGCTATGAAAATTAAATGAACTAACTAAAAGCTTAGTATTATACCTGTTTCACAATGTGTTCATAAATTACAGGACCTATGCTCCTTGTCTTTATCATCATCAAGAACATTGATCTCTTACCTAAGGGTTCAAAAGGGTAGAGTACTGAAGAAATCCCTGGTCAGGAAAGCAGGGATGAAGTGGACTGAACAGGGGTTGAGATCTCAGAGTGGGGTACAAGGGATTTTAGGCTTTATCAACAGTCAGCATGAACAAGGATTAGGTTATGGTTTCTCCTACTCATCTCATACCTCCACAGGTGAGAAGTTTCTTGATCTTTTTCTCCAGGAGAGAATCTAAGGTCTCCTCAGTATTCACTGGGATCATCAGTTGAAGAATGGAGATGATGATAAGAAGGGAGCAGATTGTAGTCTTCATTTTTGAAGGTCGGTGTCTGGAGGCTGGAAGAAATAGGCGGAGAAGATGAGATCACTGAGCCCTGGAGTAGCTAGCTGGCAGGGATAGGAGGAGACAGTTATACTTTGGGGAGAGTTGAGAGGGAAGAACAAAGCAACCACGCTGCAAGTGTTCTAGCTGTTTGGAGAAGCAAAGAGGGTTCCCACAGAGAAGATTCACTCACAAAAATCAGTCAGGTTTCCAAGGCCGGCCAAGCAAGGATGCTTTTACACTCTTGTGGGATTATCAGCCTGGCTACCCTTGAAACACACAACCCTCCACCTCCACCATGTAAATACTTCCCATAGTTTCAAAGAACTCCGGCAGCTGAGGCGTAGTTTTTAGCAATTTCCCCTGAATTAAAACATTCCCTCAAGGACCTGTGAAGAGGTACTTGAGTCTCAATTGGTAAACACACTGCACATGGCTGGAAAATCCCAAACTTGTGTGCTCTCAAAGTCTTTCCAAATGCCCCTACCTGGTGTTATAGGAACAGCTAACCAATTGCTGGTGAAGGAGACCAACCAGTTGAGCTGCCTAGAGGAGAGCCTCCTACCTGTTTAGCTGCTTGCAAGTTGTACAGAGAGCTCCAGGCCCCACGTTGGGCACCAGCTATGGTGAGTCCCTGAAGACTTTACAGCAGGCAGGGAGAAAACGATCCACAAAGAGACAAGAATGAAACACAGCTCAGCCCGGTTTTCTTGTAAGAAGTGATAGACCAGGACTTCTAGAGTCTGGCCAGATCATTTTACTTTAGCCATATTTAAGCACAGCACAATTTTGAAAAAAGTAGTCAGATAAAAATTAACTCAGTCCTAAGTACACAACAGTTTAAGACATGTTTACACTGTGACTCTTTACAAAGTACATCTGGCTTCTTTTACAAGAATGGGTCCTATTTACTCAGAGATAGCGGCCAAGATTTAGGGTCTAGAAAGTTTGACTGAGGTAAACATAACGCCTGTGGGTTTTGGGATTGGCCTGGCTCTAAGATAACATAGAAGTCACTATGTTAAACACAAGTGATCTCACTCATAGAGGTGGGTTTTATGGTCTAAAAGTAATGCTCAAGATTTAGGGGGAAAAGTCTTGAGTAAATAAAGCCAAAAATTCTGGGAGAAAAGGGCAGAGCTTGTCTCATCAGACAGCAAAGTAGCACCAGATTGTAAAATTACATCATTGCTAGCATTCCAGGAAAAGCAGCTATGCACCTCATTCTTTTGAAGAGATAAGCTATGTGTTTTAACTTTCCTGACTTCCCCAGTGCTTATCTCCGTGCACAAGGCCCTTTGCTCTCTAAAATCACCTGTGCTTGGAAGGTCAGTTGCTTTTTATTCATCCCTTCTCCTTAAAGTAACCCCTCACCTATATGCCTATAAAGAATTCCAGTAACTTACTGACTCACCAAGCTGGACTTGGGTAGATTGGTTTTGTTGATCCAATATCAGTTCTCTCTAAGGATGAATAGTCATGTGTGTCTTTCCTTTTGAGAAAAAAATTACAATTCATTTGATGCATGATCAAGGATATGTTCATGAACCAAAGATGAGTTGGAATGCTGAGACATGCACCTGAAGCTGATCTCTAAAAGGGTAGACATCCATGGCAGAAATCTTGATATAACTCCCTCTCCTCATATGGTATGGGGTTATATACCTTTTGCTATACTGGTGGTTGCATGGGCCTTGCTTCGGGTGATGAGATATACAATCATGGCTGTATCTTCTATCCAGAGAAAGAGTCTGGGTGGGTAGTCTGCAGGGGAAATCCAAATGGGGCTATCTTCCTCTATATGATATGGAGTGACATGCCTGCTTGAGGAGTGGGGCCTTCCATATGAAAACATAGTTGACCCAAGAAAGGTTAAAGATTGAGAACAATTTTTTTTGGTCCCTGAGAGTGAAAAGTAAGGGAAGAGAGTATCCATAAGCAGGGTCTGAGGTAGCATAACCACTTCTGTTTGTAGTAAAAAGTCGTATCATGCCAGGATGGCTAGTCAGTGAGGACTTGCCTTTGTAAGGTAGCAATTATAAACGCAAAGGAATGTTCTGCTAGCCTATAATCCACTACATGCTAGTAGGAATCGGGATGTGTTAAGAAGAAAAAAGGTTTAGGGAGTTGGAGGAAATAAGTGAGGGGAGTACGGGGTGAAAATGATCATTACATACATGTATAAAATTATCAAATAATACATAAAATGCTTTTGAAAAGGAGAGTATGATCTACTCTTAATATGTACATGTGAAGAGATGAGAAATTTCACATACTGCCACTGGGAGTGGAACAGATTCTACTTTTTCTAGACTGTAGAATTTTGACCACACAATTTTAAGATCTTTGAAAAGGATACAGCCCTTACACTACTAGTCTAATTTCCTTTAAACAAACAAGTGTCACAAAAACATATACAAGATTTCTTCTTTAGAATTAAGACAATGTAAATATGAACCTAGATACTTTAATAAATTAAATAAAATTGCCGGGCGATGGTGGCGCACGCCTTTAATCCCAGCACTCGGGAGGCAGAGCCAGGCGGATCTCTGTGAGTTCGAGGCCAGCCTGGACTACCAAGTGAGTTCCAGGAGAGGCACAAAGCTACACAGAGAAACCCTGTCTCGAAAGACCAAAAAAAAAAAAAAAAAAAAAATTAAATAAAATTAAAAACAGACATAAAGTTTATATAGCCATGGCCCAGGTCTCAAGAGACGACTGAACACTAGGCTTATGCCCCATTATTAGAGGTTCTGCTTCTCTTACATTTTTCAAAATGTTCAAGTTTCAAATTTAAATATATTTGAAATACTTTAGGTGTTTCTATTAGTTGACTAAAAGTTAAATGTGCCCTCTAAATTACAGGAAATGAGAAACTTTGCCTCTTTAGATTTAGTTTTGTTTCAGTTTTGAGAAATGGGTTACAAGGTAAGCAACTGGAAAGAAATTATTACAACTAATTACACTTTTTCCCTCATTTTTCCTTTTGTTCAGAATCACCACAAAAAATGCCCTCTATAGTCAATATGAAGATTAAACAGTATCTACTCAAAATGTTAGAAATAGCATGACATTTGAAAGTTATTGGCATATACATATTGAAAGTAATCTTAGAATTTTAATTAGGAATGCTAAGAAACCAGGCATAGAGGCTCAGGAGGTTGAGATACGAAATGCAGGTTCAAGGCCAGCCTGAGCTTCATAGTGAACTCCAGGCCAGTCTGTCTGAAAACCAACCACAACCAACAAACAAAAATTAAACATTAAAAAATGCTAATAAGCTGTCCCACATGTGAACCACATACAGAAATGATCTTTGATGACAAGCTGATACCAATGATGTTTACAAGGCCAGTAAATTATAAGATACCATCACCTGGCCTTGATTTGACATCATTCAATGACCAAAAAAAAAAAAAAAGTAAATTACCTTGTACCTACTAAAGATTATGAAAAAGGGTTAGTGTTTCTTTTTTCTCCTCTCCCTCCGTTTCTCCCTTCCTCCCTGTATTTCTGCATTTTCTTTTGCTATGATAAAACACTATGGCCCAACGTAACTTAAGAAACTTATTTTAGCTTATGGTTCCAGAAGGACAAGAGTTCATATGGTGGGGAGGCATGGCAACAAGAGGCAGGAATGAGAAATGGAGAGATCACATCAGGAAGCAGAGAACTGGAAGTAGGTGACACTATATACACACATACAAACACATTCTCCAATCCAGTCCCCAGTTTATATTTTCCCAGCAACGCCACACTCTCTACACTCTGCAAACAGCATCACCAACTAGGGAAGTCTCTTTATTTTTATTTATTTATTTTTTTTTGGTTTTTCGAGACGGTTTCTCTGTGTAGCTTTGCGCCTTTCCTGGAACTCGCTTTGGAGACCAGGCTGGCCTCGAACTCACAGAGATCCGCCTGGCTCTGCCTCCCGAGTGCTGGGATTAAAGGCGTGCGCCACCACCGCCCGGCGGGAAGTCTCTTTAAATGCCTGGGCCTCAGAGGAACATTTTTCATTCAAACCACCGCTCTCCACCCCCACCCCCCAGCCCCCGGCCCCTTTCTCTCTGTGATACTGACAACCAAACCTAGGGTCCTACATATTCAAGCCAAGTCTACTACTAGGTTATACCTCCAGCCTTGACTTGATAGTTTTGAAAGAATAGTGTCTCCACGATTCTCCTCTCTTCCTTCCCCCTAGTTAGGCCCCTTTCTCCTGAAGCCTTTCTAGCCTTCTCCTAACCTGCCCCAGCATTCGAGTCTGTGCTTCTTGAGAGCTCACCAAGATTGGATAACCACTACAATGTGTTAATCATCATTTATCCTTCACATCTCAAAGTCTCAGTCCTTTTTTTTATAGAGCCCAGAAGTGTCATGCTGATCTTTCTACATATTAAAACATGCTAATAATAAGAGCTAATTAATAAAAAGAAAATGAAAAGCATGTGTAAAACTGCATTCAGGAATTCATCCTAATTTAGAGTGTACCTATTGCTTTTTTATGTGCATACAAAAACTGAACCTTCATACGGTAATTACAACTCTTTGATGTAATTAATCTTCATTGTTAACTAGGCTGGGTTTAGAATCAGTATAAATACCTTTTTAGGTTGTCTATTATAACGGTATTTCCAGGAAGGTTTTATTGGGAAAAGAAGACCCATTCTGAATAAGGGCAGCACCATTCTATGGGCTGGGATCCCAGACTGAATAAAAAGGTGAGCTGAGCACATTGCTCTCTCTGTGCTTCCTGACTGTGGATGGAACGTTGCCAGTCACCGCCCATTTCTACTTCCATGTCTTCCTTGCTGTGACAGAATGTGTCCCTCAACCTTTCAGCCAAAATAAACCCTTCAATCCTTAACCTGCTTTGTTTAGTATTTATAATAGCAACAAGAAAAGTAATTAACAGGAGGTCTGATGGGTGTGAAAGGGAGTAGGTAGAGTTTTAAAGGAAAATGCCTGGAGGTTAAGCTTTGACCAGGAGTTGG